ACCGACTTAAATCTACAGATATTGAGAGAAAGGTCTCTGCTTCACCTTTCCTGCTAAATTATGAGTATGATTCTTCTGAGAATCAATACACTGGAAGCTTTCTAGACAGTAATTCTCCAGTTCTTCAGTTGCTCATAATGTGTGTGTGTGTGTGTATATATAGCAATATATCTCCAGACTCCAAAGATCCATTTTAAAGAAACATTGCCCCTTAAATGCACAGCACTACAGAGGTTTTATGTGTGCAGACCACTGTAAGCCTAAGAAATACGATTAATTTGCACATGGCTGGACATGTAACATCACAGCCTTGCAATATAGCATTCCCAGGGCCAGAATTACATCCGTGTATTTCTACTGTATTATTGCTTGAACTGACCCATATTTTGCTTAGGTCTTAAAAGCAGAGTGTTCATAGACACCTGCAAAAACTTAATAATGAAAAGTAAATGCACAACCTTCAGCTGTTTCGGAAGATAATGAAACATTTTTCCACAGGAAAACTCAGGTTTGTGTTTTCTAAGTCTAAGGTTCATTTTGCTAGACCTAGTATGGTAAAAAGGTATTAATTCAATGAGATCAAGACTATGTATTATTTCCACAATGCTTAACTCATTAATCCTCATCTCCAGCCTCCTCCTCACCACCCTATCCCAATCAGATTCCCGTTTAGTTTTCTTTCTTCCTTTCAGTCACTCTTTTTTTCAAGCTCTTAATAAGCATAACTTGTAGTAATTATCTATATAGATATTGCTTTAGAAGAGGGAAATGTGGGGGCCTTGACCAGCAATTATGATGTTTTATATGATAGCCTTTTTCCCAAATCTGGTGCTCTTTGCAGTATATAAAAGCATTCATCTCCATAAAAGAAGTGAGAAAAAATAGCAAGACAGGATTTTGATCAGTACTGATTCTGATTAAGTTTGATCACAGCACTTGACATTTTGAGCAAGTCTGGAAGCACACTCACAGAGACTCAGGATCCGCCAAGAGTCTTCAGCAGTGTAACGGGACATTGTTGACTTAGCTGGGAATATTCTATCTACATTTTTGTTTGCCTTATACGGCTATGATAAGGCAATAAAATGCATTAACTTCATTTTGCAGTTAATCTTATTACCAAAGCTTCAGTAATGCTGTTTTATTGGTGATTTATTTTAGGCTTTTCCTGTCTTCTTTTTTTTTCTTGACAGAAGGAAAATGGTTTTATCAGCATGCTTATAGATTAAAAAAGAAAAAAAAATTATTAACTGTTTGAGATCATTGTTTATGAAATTAAGGCCATCAGATGCCGTCAGAGTACACCCAGGGAGCTGATGCAGGCATGGATAATGTGTCACATTTAGAAAGAGCAGTATTCATTTATAGTCTCATATGAACATATCAGGGAAAGTTGTAAAGAGCAGATTTTTTCAAGGTGCAGAAAATGAGGTTCATAAAAACATGCATTCACTAATCACTCTATGTATAAATGAGCAGGAATGTTTTTAATGGTTCCTTCTCCTCTAGAGGCTCGTACTACAGCGTTAAAATGTGAGTGGGACAGATGTAGACACCTAATCTTGATGGGTCTGGGATCCAGAAATGATCTTCTGCTCATTGCACCTATTTCTTTTTATCACTGCATGGTTTATAAAAAAACAAAGCTCAGTTAATTAAAAAGACACAGATAGGGATGCAAAGCAAAAAGATTTTTCAAGCTAACTTTCCCAGTTTTAAACTGATTTTCTGAGACAGTCAGGGTCCTTCTCTTCTATATCTCTGAGGACTCATTTTCTTCCTTCTACTGTAAGACAAAGATCTTTTGGAGCTGCTGAATCAGGAAGACTCTGTTTTGTGTAATTATCATACTGTACTGAGCACTGCTGTGTTTGAGGACTTCCCAGGAATATATTAAGCAATGTGACTAACTTCTGTCATTTGCTTTAGCTTGGTTTCTTCTCTCATATTCTTCTCCAGGGTGAGGAGTATATTCATTGTTTTGTTTGGATTTGTTGGGGGTTTTGGGGTATTTTTTGTGATACAAAGGTATATTGTGGTGTGCTTTTGTTAGAGAGAAAAGGTTAGAGAAGTGCACCTTGCACTATAACAAAGGTGGTAAATTTTGGGAGACCTCTCCATCCACGTGGGAATTTATTAAAATTTTTAGTTGACTGAAGTCCCCAAGAAATCTCTGTTACCTACATAGATGAGCTGTACCCTTCTTAGGGCAAGTCCTGGTCCACAGGGGAGGAAATGTTCCTGATCTCTATCTTGGGGATCTCTGCAGTCACCATGGGCTCAGGTCATTGAACATCATCAAAGTGAAAACTGCCACTTTTTGTTCTGAACCTCAGCTCACAGTGTGTGCCCACTGCTGCTGATGCAATTAGAAGATAAATCTTGAATGGCTGTCACTGTATCAGAACTGATAAATTGCTTGGTAAAAAAAAAAATTAAAAATAAAAAAGAGAGAGAAAGAAGAAAAAAAATGAGATTTAAATAAGAACAAAATTATTATGTTTACCAAGCAAAGAGCTGGATAAATGTGGGAGCAGGGGAAGTTTCTTTCATGAACTCTGATTATCTCATGGGAAAAAACCCTGACATTCGTACTTAGATCAGAACAATTTGAGCTTTAAGGCATTCTTTTAATCAACAAGCTCATCTGATGAAATACTGTAGGATTTGCTTATATATCAAAGGAGTTCCCTAGAGATTTAAGCGATGTAACTGAATACAATTAAAAGATCAGTTGTAAACACCATTTGCGATACAGTTTGTTTGCTGTGCTCTGTAAGATAAGTTTACTTAATAACACATGAACTTGTGGTGGTTTACAAGACAGGAAAGTATTGAACTGTAGTGCAAGAAAAGGATTACCATAGGAGGCTGCTAGAGGTACAACTATTCAGCTATCTTGGGTCTGATGGTCTGTAAAGAGATCAGAGAAACTATTAAGCCAAGGTTCACATTCAAGAATGGAATCATTTATGAACAACCTTTCTGGGCCTAATTCGTTGCTGAATTAAACCTCAAGTAATGTCATTGAAGTCAATGGGGTTATGCAGGGCCATAAGTCAGTGGAGCAAATTAGCCCTCTGTCTTGAAGCCAAGAAACGAAAGGGAAGAGTGATCCAATAAAGGAGAGATGAAATGCTGATATTAGCTGAATGCCACTTCTTGGTACAGTGTGTTCTTTGTGTCCAGCAGGGAATATTTCATCCTTCCCAGGTGTAAAATCTTCCCAGCAGCACCATAAGGCAGCTTTATAATAAATGACAAAATTAATGGTTTAGTTCCATTGTACTGCATCTTCTGGGCTTCCGACAGGAATTTTAGCTGTGAGCAGACAACACCTATGCTGCCTTCAGTGTTATCTCCAAATCAAGTCTTGAGGTCTTCAGGAAAGCCTTGAGACTCTATTTTCCCCCTTTTGCCATCTCTTAACCATACAGATATTAGAAGATAGCATTTGTGGGTATAGGTAGCTTTCTACATAGAAAACTGACAGAAATTTCAGGAATATCTGTGTAAGAGCTGGAATAAACTAGGCATAGTCACTGCTCAGGTATGAAGGCATTATGAAATGGAATGGATTTATTTGCATTTAATTTATATATGGGTAATATTAAGAGCTCTAAGAACCCACAGTATTGCAGCGATTGTATATATGCCTTGGATTAATGAAAAAAAATCCATTGTCACTAACCAGCATTCATAATACATGGTCTCTCAAATTTCACTCCTTCTACTGTCCAACCCACTGATTACTCAGACTGAGGTTAAGACCATCATCTCCCTCAGCCAGAGATTACGGGTTTTGCACCATTCACAGAGAGCTCAGTCCTGGCTGAAGCCTCTAAGCATTTTTATTATCCATATAAAGAGCAAATTCCCAAAGTGTATAGATGGGTGTGCAGCTCGTGAAAATATCTCTGTGAGGTGGCCTGTGCAGAATAACACATTTTGGCAGCACAGCTCACTTTTCACTACACAGAGATCAAATAACTGGAATTCTTTTGACATCCTACCATGCAAATTTCAGTGATGAGCTAAAGGATGAAAAATGATTTATTGTAATGATTAATTGTAGAGAAAACTCTCCAGACCTATATGTAAGGGAAGTTGTGTAAAGCAGGCAACATGTGACAAATGTTGCTACTCCAGTATTTGTTATTTTACTTCTGGTCTAACTTTTAGCAGCAACAGAACTTGTTGGAGGGACCAGCAGCTGACTCACATGATACCTGGCCTGCTGCATGTGTGATATTGGCCATTTATTTCTTTTTTTATTTACATTTTTTTCAGGTGGTACTTCAATAACTACTCTAGATTTTCATTTTCTTTAAATCCCATTGCTCCTGTTTACAATTCAATTCTGGGCATGCTCTGCAGAGAGGATTGAAGGGAACAAGATACAAATTTGCCAGCTGCTGTGTGAGATGATGATGTAAACACTTCCAGGACTATCCAAAGTGACTTGTCATGAGGCTTGGGGACTATTGCAAACATGGGAACAAGTTCCATTAATCCACAGCCCTAATTTCAACTGATAAAATATCATTATATAGCTGGTTTACAAGTGCACTGAATTTGTACTTGATTTAGTTGGCACAGTTCTGATTTTTAAAAAAGTTCTGCTAGAGGCCCAGGTTTTGTTGGATAGCAAATCTGATTTTGACAGAAATATTTACATTTTCAGTAGCTAAAAGCTCATCCATCCAAATACACATTCACTTTTCTATTTTTTTCAATAATTAAAAAGAAGTCAACTGGGTATTGGAAAAATTTTGATCAATTTTTGGAAGTTTTGTTGAAGGATGTGTTTTCCAAGAAAGATGCAGAATTCCCCCAATTCTAATTAAAATTATTAAACTATTGTGGAGAATTATCTTTACCTCATCAAAGAAAGTCTGTTGAATTTTGCTATTTCTGTTTCTGCAGTCTCTTTTCTAAAGCCATCTCTTGTTTCTCTATGGTATCAGTCTTACATCTAACACTATTACATTTTGTTTCAGCTGGCAGGCTTCATCTATGCCTGTTATGTTGTGAAGTGTATTACTGAAGAAGAGGACAGCTGTAAGTACTAAAGCTTTATTACATACAAAATGAATTTTTAATTTTTTTTTAAATCACCCCTCCACTATGTTGGCTCTTAATGACTTCAACCTAAACGCCTTATTATACTGCAGCAAGATCAAGTTTTCTGTCCATCCTTCTTGGTCAAAAACCTGGAAATGTCTGACAGACAAAGGAGTCATGAAATACAGGTTTAAAATTGCATACACCTTTCTTCTGGAAGGATCATTGCAACTCTTTATCTCACAACTTAGCTTAAGACATAAAACAAATTTGTTTGGTTGGTTTTTTAAAAATATCCCAATTAATAAATACAAGACTTTTTTTTCTTGCTCCAGGCTGTTATTAACGATTTTCAAAATAATTGGTTACAACTGAGGTTGTAACTCTTTTGTGTTGACATGTATGTTGTCTTGTAAAAGTACTTCTGGCAAAAAAATAGCTTCAGATAATCACAGGACCTTCATTTACGAGAGGTGAAACAGTGGAGTTCTTCTTTGTTCCTGCTGCACCCAGGGTACAATTACATGAAGTGAAATGATTTCATATAGATGTAGGTTTGTGTTTCTTCTGCTTATTTATATCAATAGAAGCCTGTCGAGCAAAATTTGCTCTTATTGCATGCTGTAGAGTCAAGCCATTTCATTTTTTTCTCTACTCTAACCTGGATTTTTTTAAAAAGGGCCACTGCAGCTTTTCAGTACATCTTGGGATTCATACTAAAGCACTTTAGAAACAAGTATCAGAACTGCATGTTACTTTGATAAAATATACATGAATCCTAGCGAGAGCTCTGCAACAGGAAGCAAAAGGGTTTTTATTTGATTGAGAGCACTGCTAGGGCTGGCGGGGGTTCCTTTGTGTGTTCTCCTGCGTGGAAAATAGCTACAACCCTATAATCTATTGGCAATACAGTGTCACTGTGAGCCATCAAGGGGAGATTTAGTGCTGAAATCAAACCACCACACTTTGGAGGTGGTTTCGACTATGCTCATTTCAGTTGTCTTTGTGTTTCTGTGGAAGTGAGGAAGGTGTAAAGAGCACAGAGGATTTGGGATGGCTATGTGGAGCAGGGGTATGTCTCAAATTACTTTTCTGTTTAGGGAAGTACCCTAAGTCATATGTACTTTCTTTGCTTTCCCATTAAGTGCATTCATTATCCACAGAGCTGGAGGAGAGTTATTCCTTCTCCCCCAAAATGAAATGCCATTCAATACTGTTCTGCTCTCTCTTCTAAGGGCTAAAATATTTTTTTTTACTATTCTGTAATGCTTTAGGGCATGATATAGGTAAAAAGCGAGGAAGGGACTTGAGACTTGGCTCACCAGTCAAGCGCAGAAGTCAGAGTGCATTTGAGAGATTTCTCCCATGGTTCATAAAGCAGCATTCCTGGCAGCAAAGTGCCACAGTCAATATGGTATTGTTTTCTTCTCTCTGCACCAAAGCTCCCTGTTGTTCAGTAGCCACAGATTGTCATGCTTCTTTGAACATTTTCTTGCCATCGCCTTGACTATTTTGTCATTATTTTTGTCATTTAGATTTCATTATTACTTTGTTCATACACCCCAGCCAGGTCTCCTCGTCCAGTCAAAGAGCATCTCACCCATCTGCCAGCACCTCTCTGAGGCACCAAGGTGAATCCCCACCCAGTGCAATGAAGCCAGCAGAAGCTCAGGTGCTGCAGCTTCCCTTCTGGTGAGGTTTGGAAGCTTGGCTGGCAAAAAAGGGAAAAAGAACTTCTGTGGCTGAGTTGTGCCAACAGTGTAATAATGCTCAGATTGGATCTGGCCCCTCAAGATATTATAAAATTAAAACAGCATTAGTTTCTACTGAGAACCCTCATAAAGTAGCAAGTAAGAATGATTCTAGTTCTTTCTCTGCTCAGACATCTGCTCTGCCACGTACCAAGTGTTCACTGTAACAGTCTGTACAAATACCCTCTACTCAGGTTTACTTTAAAATTTTTATTTTCTTAGATACATTTTCTCACGTTTTACATCCCTTTTGGCAACACATCCAGTAATTGTGCTCTTCTGAGAAGTGTATTCCTTATGGATGTCACGTTATTTAGTATTTGTACTCCAAAGGAAGATGCCTAAGCTTGACTTTCTCCATATAATCACAGATGGGGTCATCTCATGCAGACCAAGTAAATGTTAAGGAGAAAAGCTTTCAGGAAAAGAGGAATATGTCCCAGATTCATTACAAGAGCTTCCTGCATAGTCTTTGATCTGAGATAGCTCCAGATCTTCTAGAAGTGTTTCTCTTTCCATAGACTCTTCTTCCACTTTTCCAGCTCCTCACCCCTGCCTGTTGCAATGGAGGAAACTCTGTGACAGAGGGATAAAGGTGCCTCTCCTACTCATGATGTACTCTCTCCTCCAAAGCTGCTGAGCATCTAGCATAGGAGAAAAAAGCTTTACTGCTGCCCCAACCCCTGCCTAGCATCCACACCTGATAAGGAGTGAGGCCAGACTTGTGTTTCAAAGAAGTTTGGCAGCTGATGTTCCCTCCGTGTGCGAGCAATGTGTCAGCTGGGAAAGAGCCTCTGGTAAAAACAGTCACCAGAAAGCAACAACCACACTGCCCTGCTTTCCCAGCACCAAACTAGTCTGTGAAGAGCAACAGAGGGACATTTTCGTCTTCTTACCGACCTCTGTATCACAGACATTACAGGAGAAACCTAGATCTCTGGCTTTCAGGACCACTCATGCCTATAAAAACGGGATGCATAACAGACAAATAGAGAGACCATAAGAATAAATATATTGGCTCATACCGAAGTGTCATTTAGCCACAAGTCCTTTCTGATGAGACAGAACCAACAGAAAAAGTCTTTTGCTTTTCACAATGGACAAAGTGAACACCCATTCCACTTCTTCTACTTTGTTAATGGGCTATGGGAATAATAACAGTCCAAAAGAGGAGCAAAAGAGGCAGAAACACTGGACCTGGCAGTACTGAGCAGCCAGGCATAAGACTGGAAAAAAAGCCATGCAATATCCAAGAGCCAAACATGGGCATGTTCCAGATTTTAACCAGATGAAGATATTGACATTGCTCTGGAGTATAGAAGCTGTCTCATCTTCTGTTGGCACAGAGCCTCAACTGTAGAAACACAGTCAAGTTGCTCTTAAGCTGCTTCAGCTGAATTAGCTTTGCTCTCAGAGTAATTGGAACAAGCTGAAAGAATTACTATTTCTCCATTCTTTATGCAGATTTTATTAAGAGAACAAATGAGTTAGGGTAGAATTAAGCAAACATTTAACTAAGATTAATCTGCTCTAACCTCACTAGAGGATTAGGAATGGAACAATACAGTGATCAAATCATGGTCATAACTGGGACTGAATCAGCAAATCTAGAGGTTTTAATTACTCACACACCAAATAAATCCAGCTGCAGGCCCCCTAAATCAAAGCTCAAGTCTGTGCTACCTTTCATGAGAACAATGTGCTTTGGGTTAATTCTGCACCAAGGATTAAAGAGTAAGTTGCTTTCTCCCCTGGTACAGTCCCAGAAGTGCTCTGACACCAGGTGCACCAGAGTCAGACTGCAGCACCCGTGTCCAAGGGGCAGATAGGAGCAGCTTTTCCATGGCTGATTTTCTCAAACTCCCAAACGTTCTCCCTATGGCTGAATAGGAAGGAGGAACTCTGAAGGTTGGATTGCCCCAGATCGTCTGTGAAAAACAAGGGAGGATGGGTCCCCCAGCAGCACTGCTGCCAACTCCACACTCTCCTCTTCACCACTGCCATTGGAATGCCTAAGCCATTGCCATTCTTACCTCATTAGCATTATTAGCTGCAGCAATTAAAAATAAAACATGAAAATGTCAGCAACAGCCATTACTTGGAGGCATTCAATGACTGTGAACTTATTGGAGATCCTAATTTTTCTCACAAAATCATGTTAGGCCTGCATTTTTCAAAGGCCAAACATTATTTTTAATAACATTGAAATGTTCATTTAATGTGCATTTGCTCACTAGCTATATAAGCTGCTACTGCCTTACTAAAAGAAAATTCAATGTATTTTTGAAAACTTCATTAACTATATAGACATTTTGTGAGAAACACTGGAATATAAGCAGTCAAGTAGCATCCTCCCAGGGCTTTTTGTCTCTAAGCAATTAAGAAAAAAACCTGGGTTACTGAAATGAGAATTCTACACTCACCGGTTCTGTTGAGGGTAAGGAGATTTGCTTGTTATTAGAGGGACAGCTTTGACTAGGAATGGACTCCAGCTAAGAGAAAATCTCTAATTTAGTCCGTGTCTCAGAGTAAACTCCTAACCTAGAAGGCTCTCTTGCTGACCCAGAGAGGGAGCAGAAATAGCGTTTACCTACTATTAGGCAATGGCAAGGCAATCAGAGAACAAATACGGCCCCTCTGAATGTTCCCTTGTGTACCATGAGGTACAACCTTTGACCATCTAATGCTAGCAGGGATCTGACCTGCACATACACTTTCTTCTTTTCTCCTGGCATTGTTTCCAGCTAAACTGCAAAGCAAAAGAAATTGCAACTTTGTCTAGAAGATTTTTGCTGTATATTCCCTGGAATCCTGCTATTTGGGATGCTTTGGCACAGAAGTAAAGCTCTATATAACCCTTTAAAATTATTTCACTCCTCCTCCTCCAATAAAAATTTGGATTAAAGACTCTATTCGAATTACTGAAAATGTTCAGCAAGACAGCAATACCCTACATAGGAAATATCTTCTGGTGAACAATACAGTATTATGTGACAATAAACTTGGTGCCAAACAATAGTCTACTCTGGGATCCTAGGCCTGACCTGGGAAGCACAAAAGTGATGACAAAGATTTTTCTTTTAAAAGACAATTTAAAATTCACTATATGTGAGAGATGTGAAATTTGAATATGCATATGGAATAAATAGAAAAACATTTTCTTTTTCTTTCTGTTACAGGCAGCCTTCCACCTTTGGGCAGGGTGTTTAACCTCTCCATACTTCTGCTTCCCATATTTAAAATGGG